TGTGTGTGTGTGTGTGCGCTTCCTCATCCTCTTCAGCACAACAACACTCTCAGCCGGTTGGCCCGCTGACCCCGCGGCTCTGCGGCTGGAGGCGGACACATTCCTCTGTCCTCCCCCAGGACTCTCTGCCTGCCGGGGGGAGGAGGGGAGGGGAGGGGAGGAGGGAGGGAGCCTGCTGCAGGCATTTAATTAGTGAGGAAGAAGAAGAAGAAGAAGAAGAAGCGGCAGGACTGGGCAGAGAACCGCCCCCCTCCAGGCTGATCCGGACTGCAGTCTGACGCAGGGAGGGTTGGAGGTCTGGACTCACCGCAGGCTGCTGGATGTTTGTCAGGTTTGTGTTTTTCAGCTTTGGAGTTTCGGTTTGAAGTTTTTGGATCTTACAGAAATGTGATCCGCGCCGGAACCAGGTCTTAAAGTGATCCTCGCGGTGCGTATTTTCGGCGCTAAGTGAGTGATGATTGATCTGGAAATGTCAGCGCGGCCGCTGCGCGCCGCTCCGCGCACTCCATCATCCCGGCGGGGCTGAGGGAAAGTAAGAAACCACCTGTTGTGGAAGTTTCCTGGAGCAGGTCGCGGATAAACCCGAGCTGCTCCACCAGGGTCGCCGGACGGAGCCGAGAGCGGAATGCGCTTTTTACGCACGGAGCTGGCGCAGTTTCCGAGAACAGGCTCCTCTGTAGTGAGCGAGACTCTCCGAGGACGGTCCCCGGCCTCCGCGCTGTGTGTCTGCGGTGATGGTGCCATGGTGCCCCGGGCTCAGATGAGCAGGACGCCGGAGCTCCGGTCGGGATGGCTCGGGAGGACGCGGTGAGGTGTCTGCGGTGTCTGCTGTACGCGCTCAACCTGCTGTTCTGGGTGAGTTACACACAATAACAGTGTCTCTCTCTCTCTCTCTCTCACACACACACACACAAACAATGGCACAGGATTTACAGAATCAGTGCAGATGGAAACAGGGTCCCTGCAGGACCTGATTTATCTGTTCCGGCTGAATTAGACTGATTAAAAGGTCCAAAGATGGAACCCTGAGGTTCTCCACAAAGTATTTTAGCTCCATGTCATTGTGTCTCTGTCTGTGTGTCTCAGTGTCTTTTTCTGTGTGTTTGTATGTCTTTGTCTCTGTGTCTCTGTCTGTGTGTCTGAATATAGCTGAAAAAGTGAAAAAGATCTGAGGACAGTAAACAGTCGGCCATGTTGAGATCAAATAAACTTCAGTAATAATAAGACTAAAGCCCCCCCGACACCCCCACTGAGCTGTTTACGGTGGAGGTCTGCAGTGAAAGTAGGACACCGTCTGTCTGTCCGTCTGTCTCACATTCTGAGATGTTATTTGTAGGCAGCAGAAACTGATCTGTGTGTCTCTGTGTGTCCAGCTGATGTCAGCGTGTGTGCTGGGAGTGGCAGCCTGGATCAGAGACTCCCTGAACACCGTCCTGACCCTGACAGCCCACACCAGGTGAGTCTCACACAGAACAGAGTCCTGCTGGACCCTGCAGGTCTCTGTCTGCTTCACCTGTACTTGTGTCTTTGTAGTCTCTGCTTTTGTGTCTCTGTGTGTCTCCATCTCTGTCTCTCTGTCTTGTCTTTGAGTATTTGTCTTTTTGGAGTGTTTTCCTCTTTGTAGTTTTATTTGTATCTTTGCATCTCTGAGTCTTTATGTCTCTGTCTTTCTGTGTCCTGATACCACCACTCCTACAGATGGACATAATGTCTCACATGTCTCTCCTGAAGACAGTTTGACCTCAGCTGCTGAGTGACAGAAATAGTTTTAATTGAGAGAAGTTGAAACTCCACCTACTTCCTCACAGGGTGTGATGTCAGAGTATCTCTCATCCTTTACTACAGTAAAAGTACAAATACCTCAGTGTAAAGTACAAATACCTCAGTGTATATAATTATGTATAATGAGTAAACTGGAGTTAAAGTATTCAACTGTTGTTCATTATATAATTCATATGTTTGTGTGTGTTAGTACAGCTGTCAGATCAATGCAGTATTATTATTAGTATTAGTAGTAGTATTATTAGTATAAAGTACTGTGTGTGTGCAGGTTGGAGGAGGCAGCCGTCCTCACGTACTCTCCAGCTGTTCATCCCGTCATCATCGCTGTGTGCTGCTTCCTCATCATCGTGGCCATGGTGGGATACTGCGGCACGCTCAAATGCAACCTGCTGCTGCTGAGCTGGGTACGTTCACACTGCAGTGGGTACAGTGCAGGTACACCCCAACACCTGGTTACTCACCTGGTTACTCACCTGGTTACTGCAGTACTGTTACAGACACCTTGGTTACTTAGTACACCTGGTTTACTGCAGTAACTGTTCACCTGGTTACTGTAGTACACCTGGTTACTACAGGTAGAGCAGAGTGAGACCAGGTCCAGTATTTGACAGACCTGAACATGGATCAGTCTTCTCTGTGGGTCCGGTCTGTGATCCACATTACCTGTCTGTTGTCACCTGAGTGGGCGGGGCCAGTTATTAGGTGTCAGATTGTCCTTTCAGTGTGTCTCTGAAACACGAGACGTTGGGATACAGAGAGCAGCTCAATGGACTCCCAGAGGGGATGATGGGAAACCAGCAGAGACAGGAAGTTCCCCTCAGTCAGCGCCGCCGCTGCCGCCAGCACTGTTGTACGGAGGCTCTGTGGTGTCTAATGAACTCTGTTTGTGTGTTACAGTATTTCTGCAGTCTGTTGGTGATCTTCTGTGTGGAGCTGGCGAGCGCCGTTTGGACCTACGACGAGGTGAGAAACCAAATATGTAAATATAAATAAATAAAATAATAAATATATATTTAGTGTATAACAGCACTTTATGTCACAATGATGTTAAATAAAAACGTGTTTATGACCTTTTCTTGTAAAATCATAAATGTATCTTCTCAAAATGATTTAACATCAGATGTCTTCCTGTCAGCGGCTCAAACACTGTCGTAGTTTTCTAAGTTGGTTAATTAAAAATGTGAATATTTTATCCACCTGTGGACGTGTGAAACTGCCCAATCAGAGAGCAGGTAGCGAGCAGCTGCGCCGCGTCTTCGTTCTAAGAATAAACAGAAATGTGAGACGAGGGGCTCGCTGCTGCTCCTGTTTCACACAACAAACACACTGATCACAACTACACACTACTACACACTACTACAAACCTACAGAAGCCCTGCAAGTGAACTTTTGATGATGAAGTTTAAATTCTTTTATATCCAGGTGCCTTTCAGGACTTTCATGACTGATTATTTTCAAGTGTTTTCAAAGATAAAAGAATACATTTAAAAACGTATTAAAAGAGCTTCCGTATGAACCAGCTGTTACTGTGAGGCTGAACAAACAAGCTGCAGTTTATCAGCAGCTGTGTGTGTGT